GCCAGAATGGACTGGAGAAATCATGGGGTTGGAGGCCAGGCCGCAGCGGGTTGAAGGGAACGGGAGGAATTGCGGAGTGTCTGCAAAGAAGTTTGCAGATGAAAGGAAAGGAGAAAGAAGCGAGTAGCTTGAAGGGGAAAGCAAGTCTGAGCCATTTTGAAGGTTGGAGGAGGCTGGCATACTTTTGTAGGCAGAGTGGGGGAAGGAACGATACCGGAGGCAGGGATGAAGTGAGAGGGGATGCACAAAATGAAGAATATGGTGGAAAGAGAAGGAGAAGGGACAACTGCTTCTGAGAGAGGGTCTTGGAGGAGGCCATCCGCGTACGTGTTACTCGAAGTGGAAGGGTTTCTCACAGGACAGCTTCTGCTTTTTCACTGAGACAGAGGAGCAATTGTCTACGGAGAACAGAAGAGCCAGAGGGAGGACGGGGATCTCTGGGACAGTGGCAAGCGCTTGGGAGAGGTGGTGTAAGGATGAAATCTGAGGCTCCAGGAAGATGAGATAAAATGGGCTAAGCACGCTGAAAGCCTCCTGAGTGTGCAGTGGCCCCATCAGCATGCTGGGCTGGCAGTTCTCTCCAGGCGTGATCAGCATCCTGGGAGCGAAGAGGAGACTAGATCGAGGTGTAGGGGTGAGCAGGGCAAGTGAGGTGGGAGTTAGGGAGTTGAGGATGTTCATGAGAGCATTCAGTAGATTGAAAGACCATGCAGGAGGCATTTATTCCATCCCCCAGATGTTTGATTTGAAGGAGCCAGTCCCCAGTGTCCATCAGAATCTATCAGTGTCTTGCTACCTGCTGAAATTTAGGCAGATATGATGGTCTTTGTTGTCCACATACAGCTACCGGCCTAGCTGGGCTGCAGGCTCACAGCAGGCACTGCCTCTTGACTGTCTACACCCTCAGGGCTGCCTGAATTTTCTGGAACAGTATAGTCCTCTAACATCACTGATTTATTGTTGTTTTTTTCTCTATATATACATTCAAGTCATTCGTACATTTACTCTCCTAATACATTACAACTCCTTTTTCAGGGTCCTCTTCTCATTCAGATCTCCTGGTTTTCCTCCTTTTAAAGTTCAATTTAGAGATTTCAGTCGTATTGGACCAAACATATGAGTAGATGGGATGGCCATGGCGTGGCTTAGAGGGTCTGGCCAGGCCCCTGGTGAAACTGAGGCAGGGCTTCATTGATTTATTTGTTTAGACAAAATATTGAACCCCTTGAATTCCCTTTTTGAAAATGCAAATAAGCCCAGGGGGCATAATGCAGTGCCTCTTTCTTTTTCACTGTGGGTGCTTTTGTGCCAGTGAATAAGTGCTGGAATCTTAGAAGCCAAAGGTTTACCCAAGAAGCCAAGGTGGAAATCACCAAAGGTTTTGAACCAGAATCTGGCCATTCTCTCTCTCTCTCTCTCTCTCTCTCTCTCTCTCTCTCTCTCTCTCTCTCTCTCTCTCTCCCTTGTCAGAAGATAAGAACCTAGGTGGGAGTGGGGTCCTTTAGGAAAGGCAATGGATAGCAGCAGTTGCTCTCACCCATCAGATTTCTTCTTCCACACAGAGCCAGAGGAAGCCAGAGGATGCTGAGGCAGAGGGCAGGCCTGCCAGTAACCACCACGCCTGATCTGGTCATTACATGTAAAATATCTTTATGCTTAGTAAACAGGGACCTGAGTACCTGCCCTTCTACTACAGCCACCCACTGGAGCTTCTTGGACAACCCTGGCCTTCGTGTTTCATCAAACAGCTTTGAAAAGGGTAATATTTGGCTCAAGTGGGATTGGAGTTTGGGGCCTTGCAACTGGAGTTGTTGAATAATTTGACTCCCAGAGAGAATTTTGCAGAAATCGAAGGAAGGGGCTCAGGGGAGACAAACCTTCTGTACCCCACTTTTTGTAGGCCCTTTCTACTCTCTAGCTCGTTCCCATCCTTGAGAGGCAGCTGTAGTGCCAGGTCATGAGGCATTTCTCATACTTGGGGCAGGATAGGGAGGGTGACAGAGGAAGGTTTCAGGCCATATTTACAAGGACACCTTTCACTAGTCCCAACATTGTGGAGGGGAGTGGGTGAGGGTGGGAGCCATATTTGGCCCCTTCCCTGCATACTCTCTCTAGAAAACACACAGCTGTATCCTGTCCCCTTCAGAGTATCATTACTCATCAAGGAAGCGGGTGATAAATTTGGTTTGGGGTCACATCAAGCATCCGAAGTAAGGGCGAAGACAGTTTTTATAGGCATCATAAGCAAGAAAATTAATCTCCAGGATCTTTCCTTGGAAAGAAATCTTTCAGGTCTTACAAAATCAGACATGAAGACATCCTGGCTGCCTTCCAAAGCAACAGGGACTTAACCAGATACATTCACTGAAAAACATTTTGAATATTGCAGAATAATATGGCCTTGATGACACTGCTTCCAATAATAAAAGACATTAATTTAGAGACATTTCCATGCAAATAAAAACCGTAATGAGATATCACCTCATTGCAAAGACAAGAGATAACAAGTGCTGATGAGGATGTGGAGGAAAGGGAACCCTTGTGCACTGTTGGTGAAAATATAATTTGGTGCAGCCACTGTGGAAAACAGTAAGGAGGTTCCCCAAAAAATAAAAAATAGAACTACTGTATGACCCAGCATTTCCACTTCTGGGTTTTTATCCAAAATAAATAAAATCACTATCCTAAAGAGATAATTTGCAGCATTACCCAAGACAGGAAAACAACCTAAGTGTTGGACAGATGACTGGATAAAGGAGATGTGATTTATATCCATGTAACACTATTATCTATATTGCCTATATGTAATATATATAAACAATATCATACTACTTAGCCATAAAAACAAAACAAAACAAAAAAATCCAGCCATTTTCAACAACATGGATAGACCCCGAGGGCATTATGTTAAATGAAGTAAGTCAGGCAGAGAAAGACAAATACTGTATAAATACTGTATGATATCACTTCTATGTGAATCTAAAAAAAAAGAAGAAGAATGAAGTCATAGGAACAGAGACCAGGTTTGTGGTTGCCCGAGGCAGGAGGATGGAAGGTGTGGGTACTGGGTGAAGGTGATCAAAAGATACGAACTTCCATTGTAAGTAAGTTCTGGGATGTAATGCACAACCTGATGGCTTTAGTTAATATACTGCATTGTTTATTTGGCAGTTGCTGAGAGTAGATCTTAAAAGTTTTCCTCACAAGGTAATAAATTTGTAACTGAGGTGATGGGTGTTAATTAAACTTACTGTGGTGATCATTTTATAAAAAAACTTACTGTGGTGATCATATATAATTATGTTATGTTGTACAATTATATGTCAATTATATCTTAACAAAATTGGAAAAAAGATTTCTCACTAATATAAACTGAATGACACACAATACAGTAAAATATTCCTATTATAGTAAATATTTTTCAGTATTAATGGTAATACATAGCATTTAACTACTGTATGTACAAGGTGTTATTTCTAATACATACATACACACACACACACACACACACACACACACACACACACACAAAGTGTAATTTGCAAATAAACCGAATGGCTGAACAGCAGAATGACCACCATCCGGACAACCTTCTGGATGACCTTCTGGATGAAGCCAGGGCTGTAAGTGGTGCTCTTATTGTCCTTACTATAAAACTAAAATGGCTGTGCAGCCATAGGTATTTAAAACAACACCTAACTCTTGGGGCTAGTATGGTAGGAACGAGTTTAACATGTTGGTGAGATCAGGCCCATCTGGATTCCATTAGTTGATCCCAGACTCCCACAGGTCCTGAACCCCACCCTGCACACACCCGCTCTTGCCTCTTGTACGTCGTCTCTTTCCCTCAACACCCAGGGGCTTCTGTTGATGCAAGAGCCTCTCTCTTCCCACAAGTTCCTGCCACAAGGATGCACCTTTTGGCGGAGTGTCTCATCTCCTTCATTCCCCTTCTTTAAGCTGTCACTCTAATTCCTTCCCCTCCTCTTCACCTCTAGCACTCCAAGGATATGGTCTTGGTTCAGCTCAGCTCTCCAGACAGATGTGAGTCCCCTGCACTGTGTGCTGAGTGCTGGCATCTCAGAGATAACATGTGACAAGCTCTTGGCTAGAAAGGCTCACTGTGCATGCCCCCGCAGGACCCTCCTGGGGAGAACTAAGACACAGGAAATGGAAGGTGCCATGGCAGCTGGGCAGCACTTGCTTCGAGCCCATCTTTTTTCTTTTGCTTTTTCATTTGGCTATTACTTTGTTTGGGCTTTTCCTAGTCCAGGGGCCAGGGAATAGAAATGGATAAGGAGGCAATATCATTTGGGCGTGGCAGGTGAAGGCGGCTTTTTTCCAGTCCCTAAGCTATTCAGGGAGACTTTGGTCAGAGCTATGCGGTGGCTCCAGATGGGGAGGCAGGTTCTTATTGACCTTGTAGCCAAAGTGCTTAGACCAGTGCAGACCATACAGTAGGTGTGTCTGTTAAGTGTTAGCTATAAGGAAAGAAATAAAGGTAGGTACCATTCTTTATTGTTAAAAATAAAGAGCCTGAGGCGTTCTTTCAGATGGGCTGATTAGTTACTAAGAGCAGGTGGCCTTGGGAGAGGATCAGCAAGGGCAACTCAACAAGTGTGTGTGTGTGTGTGTGTTTGAACCATGCATACACATGCACATATATTTATGACATGTCAAATACCACTCATCATTTACAGTCTTCGATGGATCCTTCCTATGCGGGGAGCCAGAGCAGCCACCTCAACTGCCTACCTAAAGGATGTGTCCATTGGATTTCCCACTTCCTCAACCCATATGGACACCTCATGACTCCTGGTTTCATTGAACAATGCTATTTTCATAGGTTTTGTATAAATTGTATAAACCATGCAAGACTTGTCCTCAATATTTGCAGGGTCTTGTCATCCTGTCCTACTCATGGTCCTGTTAACTTTGTGTCACCCTTTGCTTTGAGTGGCCCGAGGCCTGAGGAAGGAGGAGGAGCTTTGGGCACTTACCACGGTGCAGCAAAGGGGCCAGAACCACCAGAGGAGAGCCAGGGCCAGGAGCAGGAACAGGATCAGCAGGGCGATCGCCAGGATGGAGCCATCGGACTGCAGGGCCAAGAGAAAGGTGGTCAGCCATGGGCAGGCCATGTGTGCAACCAGCATGCAAGCTCAGAGTGGGGCAAGGCAACACCTGTGCTCCCCCCAGCTCACCAATATGCAGATTTAAGGCCCAGAGAGAGCACGGTTTATCAAGCAAATTGTTGAAACTACCTGTCATTCTGGGCAACCACTCTTTGCAGCCAATTCTAATGAGAAAAATATTCGTGGTTTTTTTTTTTTTTTTTTTTTTTCAGTGAGGCCCTGCTCTTCTTTTTGAGCAACATACTGAAGGACCAACTGTGCAAGAGACAGAGCAGGTGGCGGCCCAGGCACCTGGCGTTGCGGTGGCCTACCATTGACCATCACTTGGGCCATCACTCTCTGCCCAGTGACAGCCTCCCACATCCTGGAACTTCTCGAGGCTGTGAATGAAAAAATCTGGGGCTGCTGATAGAAAGCAATCAAGGGCAGAGGGCTTGCAGGGAGCGGAGGGTGGAACAGCTGCTGCTGAACCTGGGAGGGGAGGGTGTGGTGGCTGAGTCAACGCTGCCAAGGTTATGTGAGGGCTGAGGGCCTGGGAGTGAGGCAGGCACCCAAGGCCAATTCCATCCACTTCAAAACGTGCCTAGGCCAGCCCTGAAAAGAGACAGGATAGTTGTGGCCTTAGGCAGTTGTTAACTTTTAGTAAACAAAGATCCTACTCAGTGTTGGGGTTCTGGGGTTGCTGGCTCAAGAAGCAGAGGTAAGTCTCCTCCCTCCTGGCTACTGGAAGTGGAAATGGGTGCAACTTTCGGGAGGGGAGGTGACAAGGGGCTTACCCTTAGAAAGGTATTAATGGTTATAGGTAAGCAAAGCTGGGAATTCCACAGTTAGTCCAAGAGAACAATCAGGACTGTCCTCACAGATAATAAAAATAATAAAGGGAAAACCTAAATGTTTAACAATTAGGGAATGGCTAATTATGCACTCTAGGACTACCACGCAGTCAATTACCATGCACACATTTTGCTTTCAGATACTATTTAAATGACAAGAGAAACATTCATGATATAATTAATGAATTTTTAGATGAGAAAGCAAGATTGAGGAATATTTACTAAAATATTAATAGTTTTGCTGGTAATGTTTTTAGGGTATTTTTCTTCTTACTTTTTAAAGACCCATCCATTCTTTTTAAAAAAATATCATGAGGAAATAAACCATTGAAATAAATTACTTTAGAAATCTGCATTTAGCGGGGACAGGTTTGGCTCAGTGGATAGAGCATCGGCCTGTGGACTGAAAGGTCCCGGGTTCGATTCCGGTCAAGGGCATGTACCTTGTTTGCGGGCAGGTCCCCAGTGGGGGGTGTGCAAGAGGCAGCTGATCGATGATTCTCTCTCATTGATGTTTCTAACTCTCTATCCCTCTCTCTTCCTCTCTGTGAAAAATCAATAAAAAATATTAAAAAAATAAATAAATAAAAATCTGCATTTAGGGTTCTGCTCAGGTTCTTACCCAGGGTCAGTGGACCAATGCGGTATCCAAATGGGCTCAAATGGACAGGAGGCTGTGGGCCTCCTGAAATGACCCCAATGATTTTTGGTGCATGCTCTTCAGGGGAGCCATTCACAGCACAGTCAGGTTCTCAAAGCCGCCCCTCGGCCCGCTGACGGAGGAGGGGGTGGCCTGTGCAGGGTAACACAGCCGGTAATGGTAGAGCCGAAGCATGGCTCACTCCCACTCTGAGTGCTCAGCGCGGGCGACTGGAAGCTGTTGAAAGGCAGCTCTTACTCCCTGGAATGTCTTTGACCCAAAGGCCAGGGAACTGAACACCCAGCCCTGAGTCAAGACCTGGGAATGCCAGAGGGAGCTGCAGCCTTACAGGTGCAGGGGCAGGTGCAGGGCTGGGAAGTGGGCGGGGAGAGAGCTCAGGGGCCAGTGATGGACATGCAGTGGAGGAGAGGATGCTCCTGAATTCTCAGAGTTTATGCATGAGCCACGCATAGAGTGGTGCTCTCAGGATGACACAATCACATGTGTTGTTAGTTAAGGACTTTCCTCTGGATGGCACAACCTGAGCTCCCTGTCACCTGGTCCCAAAAGCTGCTTTTGGGTCAGAGCCCAGGAAAGTTATTGGCTCCCTGCTGCTTTCACCCCGACTCAGGATCTGTGTGTGGCTCGGCCTCTGATGTCCCCCTTTCCTAGGGCAAAGGCGGGCCAGGACTGGAGAGACCCCAGGGCCACGTGGTCACCACAGGCTGAGTGGAGCCATGGAATTGGTCAGTGGTTCCTCATGGAGTTGCTTAGTCCTTGTCTCAGGTGACTAGCGGGCAGAGAAGAGGTGGCTCCTAGAGCTCACTGGCATTCTGCCCACCTGCCTGTCCTTCCTGAGCCTGCCCACAGGCCTGCAAACGGACCCCTCCCCACTCCAGGCTCTGGAAACGGACCCCTCCCCCTCTGAGGCTGGGACCTGCACCCGCCTGATTTTAGGACACAGAGCGAGAACAGAAGCTGACTTGCCCAGCAAATCTCAGCCTGACACTGCAGGGCTGGGCAGGCCTGCATGCCCTTCACAGAGCCTTCGAAAAAGATTTCTGAGGGAGAAAGAGGCTGCAGACGAATAGCCCAAGACTGATTCCTACCATCGTTATCTCCCCAACAGCCCAAATATCAGCACAAGTTGAATTCTTATTTTATTTAAAAAAGTAAAAACACTATAGACAGGGGCAATAGAGTAGTGAAAACACGGGGGAGTGAGCAGGGGCTGGGAGGATGGGGGTAAAGAGGTGGGGGAAGGGAAGATATCTGTAATACTATCCACAATAAAAAGTTTATTTAAAACATAAAATAAATAAAAAAGTAAAAACAAAGTTAAAAAAACCCAGCAGAGCCCTTTAATTTAAAAAATCATTTTGGCAAGAGGTGGGGTCTCTGGGGTGTGTGACTGGAGCCAACAGGAAGCATGTGGTCCACAAGCTGCCTCAGGTGGCGCACCTTCTGGTGGGGGCGGGGATCACCGTTTTATGCCTTTCCCCCTGGCAAAGGCTGCCGGGAAGATGCTGTCACAGATGCCTACTGTGGGCACACAGACATGTAACACTGAGTATGAGGGCAGGGCTTCCGGGCGCTGCTCCTTCCGGGCGTTTGTGTTGTTAGGATGGCCTTCCATCAAGGCTGTCTGGCTTGAAAGGCCAAATCTCTGCATCCTGGCCTCTGTCCCCAGCTCACCAAATAAGGACATGTCTTCTAAGACAAGGAGGCACTGTGTGTCGGGGTTTGGATTTGGAAGTTTGAATAATGAAAGCATCTCTGACTTGGGAGGTTTGTAGGTCATTTTGGATTTCTTGGCGGGAGAGAGCTGCCGGGGCCTGCCCGCGGCGGGTCAGAGACAGGCGGCCTCTGGACACCAGAGCACCCGGCACGGCTGCTGCTTTTGGGTTGGGTTGTGGGCTGCCATGGCCAAGGAAGGAGCATGCAGTGGAGAGAAACTGGTGGGAGACTGGGGGAAGGCCAGCTGAAAGCAACTTCGTGAAATCCTCCATCTCAAAGCCTGGAGGGAGACTCTGCCTGATGCCAGGCACCGGGCCATCACGGAGCCAACGAAGGGTCTGCCGTCCAGCCTGGGGGACTCTCTTCCTCACTCCCACGTGTCCTTCCATGTCGGGGCACACCATGTATCCCCAGGACTTTCACTTCCCCTCTACTCATTCTGTGAATAAGGCTGAAGTCTGCCAAGCATGCTGCCCTGAGGAGCAGGACTGTCCTCTTCTGTCCCATGCAGGCAGATTTTGGGGAGACTGGATGCTTATACAATTTGGGGGGCCTTTTAAAGAAAGAGAACATAAAAATACAAAAGTAAAATACTAAGAGGAGGCTAGAAGGAACCCTTTCAAATGGGGATCCCCGAAGCTAAGCTTCACCAGCCTACTGGGATAGTGCCCCTGGTTGTAAGTTTTCCCTAGTCAGGCCCCATGCCCACGACAGGGCTGGGAAATCTATTTAATTCTGGGCTTCAGCTTCCAGCCCCCTTGCTGCCACACTCAGCATAGTCTCCAGCCCGCAATAATAAATCAATATTGTGGCTTACATCTACTACTTCTGTTTGTCACATGCTTTATTGCCCCCCACTACAGTGAGCCCCGATACCTCTTAGTTTAACTTACAACGGGATGGGTCCTGGTAATTGTAACAATTACCCTTTGACAACAGAGGATACACAAGTTATTAGCAAAGGTGTTACTAGAACCCTCACTGTTGGTGGTGGGTTTGTCGTAGTTCTGGGCTCCGTTTGGCAGATTCTGAGTATTAACTCTGAATTACTGAAGATACTCAGAGTTTTCCCACTTTTTAAAAGATATTGGACTATCTTTTAAACATTTAATGTGAAAGAATGAGTTAGCAGGCTTATCCTGCCACATTGAAGGAATATTAGACACACTGCCAAAATTATGACAGGAGATTAGCTGATGATCCATTACAGCTCCATAAAGCTGGCAATACCGCTTTCCTGGATTCAGCTGGTAAATGATGACGGTCCATGGACCCCAGCATGACCCAAGCGGATTTGCTATGAGGAGACGCTGCTCAGTGGTCCCTTTTCCTCCCTCCTGTGCCCGTCCCTGTCCCCCTCTCTCTGGTATTAGATGAGGTTGTCTTTGAAGTCCTCAGGGAAAGAGACCCTTTAGGCCAGAGGCAGCTCCTGTGACATTGTGATTTCATAGCAACCTGCTTGGTCTAAATACCAAAGAAGCCGTCCTGGTGAGAGGAAAATATGCAGAGATGAGGAACGAGGAAAGTCCTGACTTGTCCTGCTCAGATGGGAGACCCTGTGAGCCGTCAGAGGAGTGTCAGCCCGGGAGAAGGAAGGTTGGAGGGCCCCACTGTGCCTCCCTCTGCTTCAGGCTGCTTCCCTCCCTCCCAGGGTAGAGGCTGGCACTCCGGAGGCATCACATTCCAGGGCTCTGAAGTGGAATTTAGAACCATCCTCAGCAGCTGGTCTGAGCTCTGCTTCCTGCCCAGACAAA